GATAGGCTCAGTTGCATCTGGGATGCACGCGTGGGAAAGAACCGACAGCTATAGATACTTACTCGCATCACATACAAGAATATAGAGTCTATGTTCGGATGAGGACTTAGCACTATACACACCTAATGTCTTCTCGTCATCAGTAAAGAAATTCTCATTTCTAAGACCATATATGGCAGGACTTATATGACACGGTAATTCAGCGTTCTTTTCTTTATTTCTAACGAAATTCGCTCTTATACGTATTTGAGTAGACATCTCTGTATTTTAAACAGGGTAATCAACGACTACTGGCCTAGGCGTTTGAAAGTCTTAATAAAGAAATTGTTTTATTCGTTAGCGTTCAAACCTACGCCCCTTAAAGGTGATTTCTCCAATATTTCGAGGAGACAGATTCAAATCCTGCCGAAAAGCTAAATTTATTTAAGACAAGGATGTCTACTAAAGCACGTATATTCACCAAATATAACATCTATAGTAATAAGAATTAATAAATAATAATACGTACCATGTTTTTGATTGCTCGCTAAAAACTTATATGTGTCTATTGTGCGCTTTGAGACAAAAGCTACGTTTGAGTCATTTGACACAATATAGTCGTGTTTACAAAAGTCACTGAATTTGTCTCTGCCACAGATTGTTTGAAAGTCGTGCGGGACTGGCTGCATTTTAATGTTGTCCGGTTTAAAACTCAGGTCAGCAGGAACGTGATGATGAAATAAACTTTTAGATGCTTCGACAGTCCCTGAAAGATAAACAATATTGAAAAATGATTGATTGATTTGATTTATCTGCTTAACATCATATCAGCACATTATGGGTGATTTAATACCAAAACTTAATTTTCTTGGGAGCTTGGAAGTAATATATATATATATGTTATTCTGCTTTCACAATTGAATATATGGTAGATGATATTCAGCTTTTGTGCATATACATGTTTTTTGTGAACATAATTAGTGATATATGTATTATATGTATATATTTTTATTTTGCAGTTTTGTTGAAGTTATATTTGGGAAATACAGTTTAATTTTTTTTTTTTAAACTGTAGAGTATTATATGGATTAATGTCAAGAAATAGTTCTTTCATGTTGGTTGTTTGGTAGTATTTTAAACGGGTTTCGATGAAGTCGCTACAATTTGTTAGTGTGTACGTATTGTTGGTAATTTTACTATAAATAGGTATTGTTAGTACATTTTTGCATAAAAATGTATTACTGGTATTTTTACAATAAAATGCATTGCTAGTATTTTACTATAAAAATGTATTTTTATAATTCTATAGTATTTTGTTATTTGTTTTGTCTTCCCAATTCCCGGGAACAACAGCATTCAAGAGGTGGTTCCATGCTACTCAAAACTTCCAATCTCACGATCAAAGGCCTTACTGCCAGATGTAGTTTATCGTCATACCCAATAAAAAATAAAACTGAAGTGACGTTTATGAAAATATGATAGAGGCATTCATAAAAGTATCCTTCTGCTTATCAACACTCGGAGTTCTGACCAAAGCTAAGTTTCTAATGCTGAAATTCACCACAAGCACGACGTAAGATTATGAATAAATACATTATTTTTGCACGAGGGTAGGTCCTTGAAGATAGTTGTTAACGGTCAGTCCTACGAGGTCTAAGTGACTAACACAGACGTTCTCAAGACTCGCCTCCGTCCAAATTTCTTTCTACTTTACATAAAGGATTTGCCTAAAATTATACTGCAATCATTTGTAAATATGTATGCTTATCATACAACAGTATATAGGTGCACCTCCAAATCTGTAGATGACCAGCCCATGGCAGCTGATCTCTTTTCTGATTTAGCTTTAACAGCTCAATGAGGTAAAAACTGGTTGGTCATATTCAAAGCCTCGATAACCAAAATAGAGATGTTCCATGATTCCCGAGCGGATCCTATCGCGATAATGGATGTTATCTTAGAGGGGCCCCGTGGTTTGAGCGCCTATTGAGACAAGCTCAACCCGGACATCAAAAGAAATTCATACATATGATCCATGGATAAGCATGCTGAGAAAATGGTCAATTCCCTGCAATGCTCCAATGAGTACTTGACTCCTCCTGCTATCCTCTCCCTTTACAAGAGCCGGATCCGACCGAAAATGAAGTATTGTTTCCATATAAGGCAGGGGTTACCTTGTGGGTGATGAATTATTTTCTAAGCTACAGCCCCTTTCTTACAGACAAAACGTCACAAGCCACTCGCTACTCTATTGCTATTTCCATGGAAATGGTGCAGAGTAACTACATTCTATGAGTTGTAACCTTCACAGCTAAGACCCGCTATGCCACACACATTGTAGCGAACAACCTTCATTCCCTTCGTATCTATCTATCTATCTATCTATCTATCTATCTATCTATCTATCTATCTATCTATCTAAGACTGTTTATTATTTGTCTGTCTATCTATCTATTATATACAGTAGGTCCACGTCCAAATTCACTTACATTCATTGGTGTATTCCTGAATCTCAGCTTCATTATCGGTATTGACGTTCGTTCCATTTTTGAAAGACAACCCGTTAGCATCCGTTTCACACCAGCTACCAAAAAGGCCTTCGATCTTACCCTAAAAATAATCCACAATAATACTGTCAATTTCGATTGGGGGTAAAAATTGACAATGCACAGAAAAGAAAGGAAATTCAACAAAGAGAGAGCCATAACCAACCCCCTAAAAATGTGAAGAAAAAAGTCTTACATAAGGAAACAAAATCAAGGTCGATATTCCTGTTCTTTTGATCAGGACATTAGCTAATAAATAATTTTTGTTTTTGTTTATCAAATCTATTCTTCCAAAAATAAAGTACAATTACATTTTATTCAATTATATATTCATCATTATTTGCAATGACTTGCCACTTATCAGGAAGATCTTCGATAACCTTTGAGTAAAATTCCACAAGTTTTGATATGAAAAAGTCTCCAACTAAGTCTTGAATTTGGTCTTCATTAGATAAAGTTTTCACGGTCAAAGCATTTTTGCAGCGTTCGAGATAAGATAATAATCGATTGATTCAGATCAGGTGGATATGCCGGTGGGGTTACAACAGAGAATTAGAGTTCCAAAGTGTTTTCCTGTGATATTCTTGCTGTATGCAGCCCTTGTGTCGTCATGGAGAACATTTTTCATATTGATGAGCGCAAAGGCGCTTTTCGGACAGATTTATATGGGCACGGTGCACCTGCTGTATATATAAATGTGTATTTTAGTGTTTCATTGCCTTTTAAGAACTCTAAATGAGTAACACTTCGATGATTCCACCACACGTACCACACTACTTTTCTTACAAGGTCGCTTATGGAGATTTATTTTTGTAAGCCTTTTGCTCTGAACACTCTCGTATATTAATGTTCTCCAAATTTATTCCTAATTTCCATTTATGATTAGTAGTTAACATAATACATTCTTCATTAAAAATGGTTTGCAAAAGTAGAAATTATTTATGACTCAGCCTAATATATTGACTACCAGTTGAGTTTGTCAAATATGACATTCCCAAAATGCTTATGCGCTTTCGATTGGATTTTTTAAAATCATTTCATCACAAGCAAGGCAATAAAGCCACTAAGATGCAAGGTATTACTTAGTGTGAAGGAATACGAGAAAAACATTATTAAAGAGAGAGAACAATAAAAGAACAGGAATTAAGAAGACAGTCAGTTACGTGCCATGCGTGATACACGCTTAGGCGATCATGTATCTTTCAATACATGACTGACCGGCAGATTTTTCCCGCACTAGGTTGCCATTTTTTTCTGCGGTAGACCAGTTGCCAACCAAGGCTATAGAACCCGGTCTGCCCTGCTATTTACCCATAGCTGGGGTGGGGGAGAAGAAGAGGATTTATACCTTTCCCAAGGGTAAGTAAATGTAAGTAAATGTAATGGATTCAACTGGAATTCGAAATCGGCTCCCCGATTCCTCAATCCGAAGGAGAAAACGATTGCCATTACATTTAAATTTTTGAAAATCAAAGTTGACCGGAAAGCAAGAAGCCGGGAAAAATTTTTACAAGTGAGGAGTGCGAGAGAAGAAACTCTTAGGATAGAACTTACGGTTACGAATAAGTGGAATATGGAATTCCATGGAAAATACATAACCTCACACCCATCGAATGAGTAGAATTGTACTGCCTGACAATGCTTTCGTCGCTGCCCGTAGAGCAAATTATAACACATCGATCACTGCGAATTGTTTATTGAAGTTCCATAAATGCTACCTTCTGGTAAATTTAGTTTATTTGAAAGGATTTAAAACTTTTTATATAAATAGCATTACTAACCTTGTACCTTGGTGGAATGGTCACAATTAGTGGCATTGTCCCGTGTTCTTCAGATAGTTTGATTCCAATGCCTCTGTCAGTAATAATAGTAAAGTTCTGCTGTCGACCATTTCGATTGTTATCAAAAATGGCGACATCTGAAAATATTTTAGAAAAATATTATTTATCGCAATAGTTTTAAAATGAAATCTGATGGCGGTTTTTCTGAAAAGCAAGAAATATTGTCGTCAATGAAAGTAAAGAAAACAAGAGCTTCGTTTTGTGATGTCATTGCCGTTAATACTGTGATTGATATAGTTGATAACAAAGATTCCATTGTAGCACAGTTAAATATCGTTGAGACTTTGAATTGGATAAATCTATTCAAATTTAAAATGATGATTGTAATCACATTTTATAGATAAGCTGAATTGGCGGGGAATTGGTAGAAAGCAAAAAGTAAGAAACCACATAGAAACAACAACCTTTAATGGTTGTAATGTTTGGTTTAGATAGATTGATAGACAGACAGACAAAGAATCAACTTAGATAGATAGATAGATAGATAGATAGATAGATAGATAGATAGATAGATAGACAAAGAATCAGCTTAGATAGATAGATAGATAGATAGATAGATAGATAGATAGATAGATAGATAGATAGATAGACAAAGAATCAGCTTAGATAGATAGATAGATAGACAGACAAAGAATCAGCTTAGATAGATAGATAGATAGATAGATAGATAGATAGATAGATAGATAGATAAGGAATCAGCTTTGATAGATAGATAGATAGATAGATAGATAGATAGATAGATAGATAGATAAGGAATCAGCTTAGATAGATAGATAGATAGATAGATAGATAGATAGATAGATAGATAGATAAGGAATCAGCTTTGATAAATAGATAGGTAGATGAAGAAGATTAACAGTACAGTTTTCATTTAATGGGATTTATGAAGAATCTGCTATTTTTTTTTTTTTTAGAGAGGCTAATAATGACTGATTTTAATCATTTGAGGAAAGCAAAAGGGAATGGATTATTCACTCCTCCTAAATATTAAGGAATTTAGCATCTGGTCTAAAATATCAAATGACAACGACTTGACTTATATATGGAAGCCATATGGATTTTTAAAATAAAATTTATTCATAAATTACTCTTCTTTTAACTTGGCACGCCCCTGGCTACCTTTCAAGGTGCAATCATTGAAAATAACTTTGGTCTATACTTGTGGTGAGTATGGAATAATAACTCCATTTACCCATCCTTTCAAATTCGGGCGAGCTGAAGAAAAAAATAGAAAGAAATTCGTGAGCCTATGTGAAAATTTCTTTGGACCAATGAAAACTTTGTTTTCACAGGAATTAGCCGTTGAACCTAGAATAAGAAAGAAAAGAAAATAGCGAGTCTATGCGAAATAATTAATAGGAGACGAGTGTCTGAAGTCATGTGAAAAGTTTTGTTTCTGTTCACGGGTCCAACGTTCAGATTTTCGCCAGTGTCAAATTACACGCCTATTATATCATCAGCTTTAACCAAGCATTTAACATTTCAAAGAACGTTCTTTCGACAATCCAAGAAAACTAAGTATTTCAAACTATCTCTCTTCGTCTACTTTTAAACGTACGTAAGCATATAACTCTTTTGTGAACAACGGATTCTCTTACTTTTTTTTTAAACATTTCTGAATATTATTTTGTGTTAGATCATTTAATGTGTTGTATGAATATTTCCTCTTCAAGACAATTCGTTAAAACGACGGACATTATAAATTTCTGGTTCTGAAACGAGCTATCGACGCAAGTGCAAGTTCGTCAATAAATTCCTTAACTTGCTTTGTTAAAATTACCCGTGTGTTTCCTCCTCATTACCATCCTCCATTAACCTTCTTGGTGTAGGTAAACCAATTGTTCATTTTAACTCCCAAATCCCACGCCACTATATACTAACGCCACAAGAAGGAACATGTGACGTCTACCAAACCAATAAAAACAACATGGGGTTCAATAAATCGAACATCTCCACACTATCCCATTCTCAAAGGCTTCTGATGAGATGAAAGTAAATAAATAACGTTCCTTAGTTTATCGGATTTAATCCACAGCCTCAATTTAATCAAATCTGTACAATACCGCTTTAAACTGGGTTGGCCAAAAAGTTTGGTCGGTTTTTAAGTAAATTTTCTACGAAATAAGCGAACAAACTTTTTGGCCAACTCAATATACAGGGTGCGGCAGAAATACCTCCCACATAATGGTAAGATATTAGCTCGATGAGGATACCATTGCTACTAATGTATTTCTGTGAGATATATGTGAGAGGTATTTCTCCTGCACCTTGAGATTGTTAATAAGAATGCACAAAATACAGAGGCTTGTTCTATTATGATAGCAGGTAAATAAATGAATAAATTTGACTCACTTTGAAAGACGTGGACGTAACCATGTTCTTTGTCAAATCGGATGAAGTTGCCATTTACTAAGACATCAAGACGGTAAACAAAGTCGTAGGGTTCGCGCATTCTCACTTCAATGATGTCACCCTTGGAGTTCTTCAAACTGATCGCATTTAATTTGCTAAAATGTTGACCACCAACTAGGAAAAGAAATCATGTCATTGTATAAATAACTTTATTAAACAATTTCTGTATTAATCTAACAAAATCTTTGGTTATATCTCATTGTTCATATACGTTCGGGTGTTTATAAACGCATGCGTGCGCCTGAAAACACACACATATATTGGTTTTCAAAGCACAGCTTAAATATGGTACAAGGCCAAAAGTGTGGGGCACCCAGTGAGGATCGAATTCACTACTCAGTCGTAATTGATCTTGTAAGACAGGCTTGCTTAACCACACTCCTTCTCGGTCTTTTGAATAGGAGTAGAGGTTTATCCCTTGTTTCCTGCTTAGGATTGGGTTTCCGATTCCTTCTAAAGTCTTTTCATTCTCTTTCACTCACAGTTACCCACAGTTGCGTATTAGTGGCATTATCGCCTTGCTTGGGGTGAGGTGATTAAAATATTTTAAAAAATATGTGAAATTTTAGATAAAAAAATAAGTCAAAGCATATTTTTGAAAATGTGGTTAAAAAGAACAATTTTTAGCACTTACCTTTCGCTAAATTAGAAAGAACAAATGTTCCTTGCAGTTCAACAGGGACTGTAGAGGCTGTTGTAGATTTTAAAAGCCAATACGTCCCAAGTACTTGCATTGTGTAACCAAAGCCGTAAAATGTGATAATATGTGGGTCTCCAAATATTGCGACTGAAAGAAGAAAAAATATTTTATTTTAAAAAGTGAAACCAACAAGAAACTCCTCTACTTTCAATGAAACTCAGATTTTGTTTTTCTGCTTCAAATTTAATGGAACACATACTCCTGTATTAAGTGCCGTGTTTATTCGGGACTTGGGTGATCATAGCTCTTCACAACTACCTATACTTTGTACTTCAGTTTACTATCCCTCCGAGTCTCAATTCTTCCACCCAGTTACACAAGCTTGTTAGATACACGCTGTTTCTTTCTGCCCCTCTTCCCATTAATGTGTCCTGTGAGTATCAAATTTTCCAAACTCTCTTTCCTCATTTTATATCCCAGACATTTTAACTCTCTTTTTCTAATTCTAAGCGTGTTCTTTTTGTTCCCATATTCCTTAAAATTTCTTACTTGCTCCATTTTTCATTATTTTCTCAGTATCGAAGAAATGTTTAGGAAGGAAGACCCCCCCATCAGTGATGGAAAGAACTCTAACAATTAGTGGATTTGAGAAACAAATTTTCCTGAAAAATTGTTTTAATAAAAATTTTTTATAAATTTTAGCCGAAAGTAGCACTGGCTGCTCGGTCAATGAATTCTGAATGTTTCCTTATAAAGAAACGGCTAATCTTACTATTAACATTAGAGATGAGGAGAACAGATACTGAATTTGGTATTTACTCGTAGCTCCACGGTGATGGTATATGTTATAAGGCTAGTTTAAAGCGGGGGACCCCAAGTACGTGTACATGAGCTAAGGCTGAAAACTATCCTGTCCCTGCAACCAATGCCGCGCTGGTGTCGATATTCTACCGATCCTCCCTCTTTGGTACACTGAAGATGGTGTTGCCGCAGGGCTGGAATCCTCGACCTCGGTATTCATCATTTATTTGTTGTGTTCTGTCTGAAGACGGAAACACAATTGAGAGATAAAATGTTTTTTGTTTTGTTCGCCCGGAGGCAGATACTACACTTTGATCCTGGCCATCAGGCCAGGAAGTGAAGAATAACGTAATTTGAGTAGCACTGGAAGCTGAATGTTTTCTTTTAAGGAAAAGGCTAACATTACAATTACCATTCTGTAAAAACAAAGACACATGTGCTGAACTGCTATTGAATATCGATCCTTTTATATGGCAGTGGTTACATAAGAAAAGTATCATTAAGTGAACAAGCAAATCAGAAAAATTAAAATGGAACTAATATTTTGATGAACTTATTTGCCATTGTGTAAATGGTAGAAATAAGCATATTAGAAATACAATTTTAATATTCCACTTTTGTGGCATTGATTGGTGAAATGTGAAATTTTTTTAATGTCGGCAAGCGTGAGTAAACAAGAGGTTCATTATTGTTGATTCATTTTGGCACCTCAACATTGTGTAATGGCTAGCAAAGCTTGTCTCGCTGGAACTAATTGTGATTGAATAGTGAATTCGATCCTCGCTGGGTGCCTCATACTATCGGCCTTGGGCCACATCTAAGCTACGTTTGGAAGATCACCAATATTGGTTTTATTTATTAATTCATTTTCTACGGCTGATCAACCCATTGCAGGTTATTTAAAGCCAAGAAATATTTTTAGATTGTAAAATTGTTTTGAGATAATAATGGTTTAGTGATACAAGCTTTACTAATTAATCCATAGCTGGGGAAAAAGAGGGGGTTATTCATACCTTTACCCAAGGGTATTTGCGCGTGAGTATAACCAATCCAATTGAAGTTGGAACTTGGCTATCCGATTAACAATTTCGAGTTATTATCCATTATTATACCAATCGCACATACAAGATTACAGCACCTGATATTCCCAAGCGGTCACCCATCTAGGTACTGACCAAGCTTAATGTTGCTTAACTTAGGTGATCCTACGGGAACTAGTATTTTAACGTATTCAATATTGGGATCAGTATTATTTGACATGACATTGGCACTATACACGAGTTAATGTACCATAAAATCATATTCATTTGGTTCTGATGACAATGTAAGAAATTAATATGATCTAACTGGACTTGAGGAACTTCCCAAGGGTGTTGAAAACTAAGATTATATCAGGCTTCTGTTTTAGTCTCACTTTAACTGTATCATCTCAATCTCTCCCTTATCCCGTTCAATCTTTGTTGCCCGTTCATAGATTTATCTAAACTTCTCATATTTTTATTTCTCATGTGAAATAAGGGAACGAGAAATATGCAAATACTTTATACTGAATCCTCTCTTTTATCTTTCTTTTGCTTTCTATCTCCATAAAGTATTTTAAATGTATCGTAATTTTTACACGTTTTCATCTTTTACTCATTGTCTCTGAAAAGGCCATAGAGAAGAAAATATTCTGAAAGTAACAAAATAGAGGAAGCTGTGGAGCACCATAATCACACGTGTCCTGAAGAAACCTGAGAGTGGCAGAGAATTATTTGACGATAATATTCAATTTTAGCGCAGTGAATATTTGGCTGATTTTGAATTTTGGGATATGATTTTTGTTGTTGTCAGAACTAAAGAGAAAAAGAACGATTATAATACTCACCGGTGGTTGGGAGCTGATAACCTTTGCAATTGATGGTGGGCCTTTCCATCATGTAGGTATTACACCGAGAACCCCACAAGCAGCAGTAATAATAAGGTATGACATCCCACACCCAGTGGGACAATTCTGGTACATGGTTGAGCTTGTCAAAAGGGTGTTTCCCCAAAGTAGCTGCCTTGTCAGGAGTACTTCCATGCAACGTGTCGCTACTGTACATCAAGTTGCCGTCTTTGCGATAGCAGCATTGATTCCCTGATGAAGTCACCCTGTTGCAGTTGAAACATTAAAAACAAAATTCATTTTTTATTTATAGAAGTTACAGTTTCAATATATAACCAGATTTTCTTTTTCTTTTATGTGTCGTGTCCGTTCAGAACGTAGGCGATCATGGCCCTCCACATCTTTCTGTCCCTTGAAGTTCTTAATAAGTTTTGTCTTTGTGTTATTTATCCCAAACCGTATTCTGCCATCCATTTGCTCAAGCCCATCAAACATGTCACGTGTTGCTTTCCCTTGTTCCTCTTTCTCTCTATCCTCCCTGTGAGTATCAAATTTTCCAAACCCTCCTTCCTCATTACGTGTCCCAGAAATTTCAACTGCCTCTTCCTGATGTATAAGTTTCCTTTTTGTTTTCATTCTCTCTAAAACCTCGTCGTTGTTCACATGTTCGGTCCATGGTATCCTCGGCATCATTCTGTAGAACCACATTTCTGTTGCTTCGAGTCTGTGATGAGCTTATCCAGCATTCGCTGCCATACAGGAGGACAAATATTAGATAACAGTTCGGTTCACTTTCTTTTGTTTCCAACGAAAATTTCCTGTCTCTTAATACCCTTCTTAGCTTTTGGAACGCGTCTTTGGTTATTATACCCGATACCATTATCTATTACACCACCCGCACATCCAAACTTAAAGCATCTGTATTTTCCAAGCAGTCACCCGTCTAGGTACTGACCTTGCTTAACTTCAATGATCATACGGAAACTGGTGTTTCAACATGATGTGTCCGTAAGCTAAATAAATAAAAAAATCTAGACAGACAACTAAGTCTCATAGTTTTACTGTTGAACTAGCTAGACGCAACCGTATATTCTATTCTAACTAGGTTGATTTTCTTTCGTACTTCTCGCATGTGTAACAGTCTTCCATTTTCTTGCTTCCCTGTCACCTACAATCTTCAAAAATTTAAATACAATGTCAATGAAACAGGATTCTGGACGACCGAGGCTATCCTCTTGTAACAACCTGTTCTTTTATTGTCCTTTCTCCTCACTTCTCCTCACTAAAGTCTTCTCACTCTTTCACTCCCTGTAACCCATTGCCTCCTGATGGTATTGTCGCCTTGCTTACAGGGAAATAATTAAAAAAAAACCCCAAAAGAAACAAGATTTAATCAAAATGACATTTTGGATTCGTTCTGGTCATGACGATTATTCATCAATGCTAGTCTTCGCTAAAACTTCGACAGTTTTGAACTAAATAATAAAATATACGGCCCATGCCAAAAATGTAAACCTATTCGTCAACCGAGCTGTACCCTAGAGGCATGTGTTAAGCGAGAGTTTTAATCATTTAAACAAAAAACTAACATAATGATACTTTTGTTATAGAAAATTAGTCTATCAGTTTATCAGATGTTATAAATATCATTACTGTAGACATGCGGCTAGCAAACTTTACCACTGAAGCGGGTTCGATTCTACTATGGCCATGTGCCCAAGTTAAGCTTCGCTTAATCGATAACTACACAAGTAGCATGCGTATGGCTATCAATAAACTTATCGAGCAATGAAATAAAGGAATTTTATTTCTCCTCAAAAACATGTATAAAAAGATCTTTTTATTGTGGCAATTAAGAAAGATGTACATATACACTAGAAATTTGATGACACAGTTGAATCCAAAACCGTTCCCTTTATTTGTTTGGTCGACAGAAGTCACGTGAAAACAATTCAATAATACACCTCTGGCTCACAAATTATGCATATCTTGTATTTCTATAGAACCATCAATTGATAGAATCTTATTCTAAACTTATTAAATGTGGATGGGCGGTTTGGCAATCGTGTGAAATTCAAATGTCAGGTTAAAAACAATGCCCGATCATCAGTTGTGCATCTATACCACAAAGGGGCGGCACGGAAAATGTCAGGCCGAGTTCAATTTTCGACCGCAACCATTACGTTCATTTCACATTGATACTATTGGAAAAGGCTCGAATCAATATCTTCTGCTCAGCTATTCTAGCTATGGGTAAAGTAGCAAAGTAGAATGGGATCTCTAACCATGGTTGGCAACCAGTCTAACAGAAGTACAACTTTGAGCTTAAATCTGTGGAAAAGTCAACTCGAAACGACTCCATTATCTTTCCCAAGAAAAAAATCATATTCATGACTATGCTCAGTTTACAGATATTAAATAAAGAAACTGTGGAGAGTCATAATCACCTACGTCTTGAAAGAACACACATACGTGAATTTGAAATAGTTGGGATAGTGGGAATAAAAGTAGTGGCTGGGATTTTTAAAATAAATTTTAGTAATGAAATGTTTTGTTCTAGAATGCTCGCAGGAGTAAGAGGAGTTTTACTGTTTTTTTCGGAAAATCGAAGGTATACCTGTACTTTTGGGACCTATGCAAATTTATTTGGATACACGAATCTCTTCTTTATATAGTTGTCGTTGTTAACACAATATTTCCAAAGTTGGGTATGCTAAAGATTCTTCCCAAAGTTATACAAGACACAATTTTTCAAATGTGATTTATATTTTTACGAACGGAATCAAATGATTATTAATGACGACATTTCTTGTTAGTTCAAAAGTTCAAGTGAAAGCTTATATTGAAATAAAAATGAAATATTCACGTTGTCTCAGCTGAGCGTATGCAGTGGACAGCTATCTCGTGGTAATTGCAGGTGGATGCAGAAAAGATATTGCAGTTGGCATCTGGAATCCATCGACCGAAGTCTGCAAGTGCCTGATGAAGAGTGCATGGACATTTACTCAAATGACTGAGCCAATTTTTATGGTATTCTTTGTCATTCTTCATTTCTTCGCATTTTATGTTTGCCCAATTACGGCCCAAGGTACGACGAAGCTTCTCCGAGAAAAACCAACCAAGGGGCAAGATTTTAGTGGTCAGAAACCTATGTATAAAAATAAAAAAGAGCCGTATGTATTCACACTTCGCAAAACAAAAAAATGGTATACGTAGTCTTTTAAAAGCAGTTCTCCGAAACACTTTCAAATGTCGGTTAAATTGATTTAAAATTCAATTAGACCGAGTCGGACATATTTCAGAGACTCGTTTCACATTAGAGGACTAACTTTGATAATTAGGTGTTGGGCACTGTAAAAATCAATTTAAGGGCTGATTTTATTGATCGATTATGTGACAACATATCCACATAGATTATTAAGTTATGAATTAAAAAAAAAAGTGTGGTATCATATCGAAATACATATTGCATTGAAATTTCACACCAAACCGTGAACGTGAGTCAGGTTCAGAATTGATCTGAGAAGATCCCCGCTATGGTTGGAGATGCGCGATTCACCCGTTGTCAGTGGTAACCGTGATAGGTGAACACCTGTGAGCCTGGCAACGTCTGATACGTGCGCATGGGAGAAAACCCGTTGGACAGATGGATATATAAGCATCCCCCTCCACAAAGAAGGAATGGGGGTACTTTCTCACACAATGATAATTCTCATCACAGAATGTAATCTCCACGTGTCGGACTCAGGGCAACGGGGTTCGCACCAGAGATTAAAGCAACTGATGAAATATTGAAGTAAATAAAATATTAAGCAATGATGTATCCTGCCTGGTGTTACCATTTAATTGGCACATCTACTTCATTACAAAAGAATGAATGATTATAAAACATGTAATTGGATAAATTATAAAATATAATTATAAATGAAAAACAAAGTACAAATTATAAAATATTTAAAATAAATAAACTATAAATGATTTTAAATGGTTATTTGATATTTCAGTATATTTGTGGCGCACCCCAGGAAAATTAGCACTTGAAAAGTTGTTCGTTAAAAAATGCTTATACGAGTTTGTTGACGCATCAGGTAAGCCGCATCTACAGAAGATGTATCTTTTTCTTCCTAACGATTATCATTAAAAAATTATCGTAACATCTAAGGAATTGAACTACTATCCAGTCGTTAAAAATTTGAATACACTAGTTGACGATCTATGTAGGAGGCTCTTTACTGTATTCGTTTGAGCATATCTTTCACCTTCTTTGATTGCAGAATGATTTGTATTTTCGCTTTAGAATAATAAATAAATAATAAAGGTCTTTTTCATCGATGGCGACAGTCGGCAGCGGAAAATAAGTTATCTTAAAACGCAAAGCCGCTCAGGGTTACAACAACCAATACATGATCGGCACGGTTTTTGACAACTACCACAGTATTAGAATACTGTGGAGTCATCCACTATAGAGCATTTGCGTCTTTGTCTAGCCTCTACGGCGCGCTGGACACTATTCTCTTCATAGCTCTTTGCTCCCGCAAAACAGTAGCTATCCACCCAACATGATCACAGGCAACCGCAACCCAGTTAGCAACATTGATAGACAATTCTATCATGGACGTTTTATACTGGTCCTTGAAGCTAAGCTTGGGTAATCTAACATTACGCGTGCCCTAAGACAGTTGCCCATACTGTTTGGGAATTCTGGAGTTATTCATGTAGCAACGTGCCAAAACAACCCAAGACGCCGAGACCGCAGGATGGGGCTAAATGTCAGCTCTTTTGAGCACTTCTGCATCCGGGATCCTATCTTACGATTTAAGTTTTAAAGTATTTCTAAACATCTCATGTGAAAACTATTTAACTTCCTCTCCTGAACAGCATACAAAGTAAATGTCTCACTCCCGTAAAGGAGTGTTCAGAGGACGCATGTTTGGTAAATTAGAGTTTTAGTTTTTATCTTAAGCTTATCACTTTCCCATTTTATGAGTTTCTAGAATGCAATGGTGGCCTTTCCTATTCTGCTTTCCAATTCCCCATCCTTAGATAAGATCGATGTTATGGTGGATTCTAAGTAAAAAAACTTATCTACTGTTTTCAGAGATTCAACACAAAGTTTTATCTTTGGTGGTGGTTTTGTTTTACAGTATAACATCAGATAACATCGATTTCTAAAGGAGGCTGTTACATGGCATCTCAGAAAGATTTGGACATAAAAGTTCTTAAAAAATATTATTAGCGACTCCAAGAAGAGATTTATCAAATCTCACCTTTGTATTGTAATTTTTATCCACTGGCTATTTCGTTTTTTCTTTTCCTTTTCCGTTTTTTTTTTTTTTTTTTTTTTGTGAATTTCCTGATTAACGAAATCTGGAGTCTACTATTTGAACATGGTAGACACAATACATACGTTATTTTTTACAATGCACTATAAAATTATATTCCTTTTGTGCGCCAATTAAGGCAAGATAACAATATCTGATAAAAGGATCACTATCGAAAAATGGAAAACATTACAGTTTGGGAAAAGATAAGGACTTTGAAGATGACGAAATAGAAAACAATACAAGAAGGTAGTAAAAAACAAATGTGCAATCACTTTTGAGAAAAAAACGAAAACACCTACTTCTACTTGCCCCACCAGCGTCTCTGGGACATGTAGTAATTTTTGAAAAATCTTTTCGTGCTTGGGAAAATTTCTTTGAATTCTTTTTGTTTTTAGTTGTCCAACCGCAGGAGAATTTTCACTTGAACTTCAAAATTTTTTACTCTCTTTGCATCTGGCTGGTAACCTTGTGCCTTCTTGGACCGTAGTGTCATATTAAATGAGATTGATTTTGTGCTGCGTAACTTCCGAAGCACCACCTCTGACTGGACCATGTCAAGCTTGATAATGAGTGCAACAGCTTCATAATATTGTTACAGATTTAATGTTAATATAAATCTTTGATTTTGTGTACAATAGTAATAAATAAGATAAAAAATAAAGTCGGAGTACGTACAAACTGTTGTTTGCCAAGGAAGGGTCTGTTAGTTTCACTTCAACCATCCCAACTTGGAAGTTGCAGTCGTCCTTTGAGCATCGATTCCGGCTCGGCTTAAAACTGAATCGGCCATCAATATTTTTTATATTCGAACCCAATTTGGCCAGAGTTTTGTAGTAGAACTAAGAGAAAAAACAAAGAAAGATAATTCTTATAAGAAATTAACATTCTTGTACAGTTGGTATTTATGTTATAGTGTAAATATATTGTACAGGTTGTGTAACTGCTATCGGCGCGGAATGTTGAATAGGCGAGCCGAGTTCAAATTCCAGCCGAGTAAGTTGCGTTCACTTTCGCAACAATTCCCCTGAGAAAGGCATGAAATCCCATTTTTTTCTTTCAGCTATAGGTTAAAAAGCAGGGACTCTTTAGCCTTGTGTGGCAGCCAAAACGAAAGAGAACGAAAACTACGAATTTTAGACCATGGAGAAGAAAACTGAAGACCACACTAACAAGGCATAGCATTTCACAGATAATAAAAACGGAACCTGTGGAGAGTCGCGTTTGCCTACATCCTGAAGAAAGATGGCATTGAAAAAAGTAATAGGATGTGCGATTGGCGTAAATATTATCGACGCGGAAAGTGGAATCGGCGAGTTCAAATTCCGGTCTCGTCTATTATATTCATTTGGTGGGGGGGAGAGCGTAGCAGGATGAAAAAGGTCCTATACTTCATTAAAACAAAGTTTTATTGTAAAAATGTTTATGTTATTATTAGGAGGAAAGACCAAAGTGTTTTTTGATTATCTTATTAATTTTTTTAATCTTTTCTAGCACATTCGAAATTTTAGTTAAAAATCTTGTTTTTCTTGCGTCAGTGGGTGGGCCAAAGATTATATGATTTTGGCGAATTTTTTGAGGGAAAAATTGATTTCGAAATTCTTGTACAAATCAAACAATTGTCGAATTCACAAATTAATATATTTTTGTAAAATTATTTTTTTTGAAAATTTTGGTAAAAATATTTTTTACAGCTGTCATCTCCACTTACATATTTATATGAAATTTCGAGAAATTAAATTTTGATCGCAATTTTTTTTATTAGCTAAAAGCAGGACTCCTTAGAGAATGTAAATCACCAATTTTTTTCAAAGCAGTTACTCACTTTCCGAAAACCTGATCCAAATCGTAAAATAAAAAATGCAATAAAATATGACATTATTTAATTAGAAAAGCTTTTAATTGCTTTTAGAAATAAGATATATTAAGCGCGCAATTGCCTTAAGAATAATTTTTTTTCAATGAATAATGAATTTTTGCAAGAACTGTTTTCATTTTTTAAAATTTTAATTATAATCTACTATCTATATTTCTCATGTTGTCTGTGTGTGTGTCTGTCGTGGGCGTTGTTACCTCGCCCAGGCCGCATTTTTCACACGATTTCGATGCGGTTTTCAACACAAGTTTGCAAATGGCTGCCGTAAGGATATGACGGAGCCCGATTTTTGAGTTCGGAATCAGGTTCCGAAAAAATCGATAATCGAAAAAATTCTGCTTACAGAAGGAATGATCGCATTTCAACCAAATTTGACACCCTCTTAGAGTCTACCATTAGAAGTGTTGTCCAGAAGTTTCATGACCACGGGCCCCTAAATAGCGTGGAAAATCGATAAAACCCAAAAACCGATACGCCCAGATTGCATCTGAACCGCATGTCGGTTTTTAGCGAAAACCGAGCGGATTTATGAAGAGCCCATTGGGAGTCATCATGTGAAGTTTCAACTCTGAGCACCCCCTCCAAACAGAGTGCAAATCGACAATCGGTCAACCCGTAAAAATGTTTTTTCCGTTTCTTTTAAAGCTGATCGTATTGTGTTTATTTTGTTTAGTTTTTTTTTCGTAACAGATTTAATGTTTACTATAGAGCTTAGAAAAAGTTGGCAGTGTGAGATAGGCAAGAAGTAAGGCATGTAACAACATCAGCACGGCAAAGGGCACTCCTCTAAAGACAAGGAAGGGCAAAAATATTTTAAGTCAAGTGATAGCGATTGCTGTATTAGTCGTACTATTTTTGAATCAAGCACGGGCAACGCCGGGCCATGCTGCTAGTAATTTATAAAGTTTCAAATCTTTAAATTTCTGCATTACTTTGATCGCGTTAGGTGGTATTTTTATTAAGTGAAAACTATACTTACTAATCAAAAATTGAAAAGCTTAATATAAATCAATTGCGCACCAAGATTTTTAAAAGAATTTTTAGTTTTTGTGGCGGTACACCTATATGACAGTCTCTTTTCCGTCCGGTTATGAATAGCAGAGGTAACTGCGATCTCTGGTTTGCGTTTCTTCAACAAACACAGTGCTAACCTATTGTTTATATCGCAACTATGCTGAGCAGATCTTAATTGCAGTTCCTGGGACAGAGCACACCATCTGTCCGATTTCAGTACACTCAAATTCTCGTTCGCAATCGATGGCTTCCGAATAGTTTCGTCAACACGTAGTATGGTTCCCAGGTCGATATTATAAAGAAATCACCCCCTTTACGAATCGACCATGGTGAGATTCGAACTGACTGCTTAGTAATAGTACTGAGTGGATTTTCAAAATAACAATCGATAACCCACAAGGAAGACGGCAGATCTATTTGGATGATGGTATCGTGAATTATTTAGTCACAAATGGCACTGGGGGCTCAATCCCATTAACAATTTACTCCTGCTCTGTATCAGTCTGACATGGTCAAAATGGCAGCCGATATCCAAAACATCCTCAAGTCCGTAGTTAACTAGGGCAAAAGATGACTTGCTAATTTTAACACCTCCAAAACGAAACTTCTATCCATTAATCATCAGAGAGTTCCTTTGCTGCCTTCCATCAGCATGGCTGATGCTATCCTCCAGGAAAGTGACACGTTGTGCCCTCTCGTGTACACGTTATCTTTTGATTTGAAGTGAGGAGACTATATTGAATCTGTTGCTAGGTCAGCTGCCAAGATAGTCGGTTCTCTCTCCAGAATCTATAAGTTTTTGAGTTTAAACGCAGTATTAGACTGCCGTCGAGATCTCATCAATTTACAGTTGAGCTGGTTAGATGTAGCCGTAAATTCTATGCTAACAGTTTCTTCTCTCGCACTTCTCGCTTGTAAAACTCCCTTCCAGCACCATTCTTTCCAGCCAACATTAATCTGCAAAAATTTTAATGTAATGTCAATCGCTATCTACTGTCTACCTGATTACTCTTTTCTCTTTCTGCTCATCATTAATGTTTCTGTTCCTAATCCTTCCACACCTTGTAATCCCCTTGTGTTTTAGTGGCATTACTGCCTTGCTTGGGGTGATTCCGATTAAAAAACAAAACAAAAAGAAAAGTGTACCGCATTTTGGTGGATGGAGATAGCACTAATTTTTCTCCGATTTTCGTGATAATGATCAAATAATTTAACCTCCCATTTTTAAATAAAACCTTAGACACTATATATATTGAAGGTATAATTTCCTAAAGTCGAAACATAAAATGATAGTTCTAAGAACTAACGAGACTGACCGCTAATTTGAATGATTACTGGTTATGATTCTTTTCTTAAACATGCGTCGATGATACTTTCAGCATTTGACTGTTTACAGAACCACGGCCATCTTGGTTGCTATAAGCAAAATGAAATTGATTTTTATTATAATTATTTACCGTCTTCCTCGTTTCCATGTAGCCAATGAGATTCACGTCAACTGTGGCGTTCTTATCCCTAGTAAGAAGAGAGTGATCCCAGATGAGGCTAAGAACGTCAGCGTTTTTCTTTTCCCACACACCCGGACGAGCTGATTTGGAAGTTTCTACTTCCATCGGCATCAAACTTGGTATAACTGGAAAAGATTAAGGACTCGACTAAAAAATATTGTCGAATATGCAATCCCTGCAAATTTGGACTGTGCATAATAGTATAATTTAAATATTTTCGCGTGATTATCTTTTGAACAAACTGAACATGGAAAGAACTTTTTTTCAATTCGACTTTCATTTATGCATTATTTCTTTTACTGATTTCAATTTGAAAGTTGTTAATCTCAAAACCTTTAATCCTACTACAAAGTGAACGAATACAGAAATACATTTTTTCTTCTGCACAAAAGAACTCTTCTCTTTATTGAACTGTTTAAATTTTACAAAGCAAATAATGTATGTAAATAAATAAATTTGTTATTTGTAATATTTCTATTTCGGGAAACAACAACTCAGCACCGACGACTGAACACCGCCAACTGAGCGCGAGACAACTCAAGGCCGACACAATTCAGGGCCGACACAACCCAGGGCCGACACAATTCAGGGTCGAGACAATTCAGGGCCGAGACAACTGAAGGCCGACACAATTCAGTGCCGAGACAACTGAAGGTCGACACAATTCAGGGCCGACACAGCTCAAGGCGGAGACAATTCAGGGCGGAGACAATTCAGGGCGGAGACAATTCAGGGCGGAGACAATTCAGGGCCGACACAATTCAGGGCGGAGACAATTCAGGGCCGAGACAAATCAGGGCCGACACAAGTCAAGGCCGACACAACTCAGAGCCGAGACAACTCAAGGCCGACACAATTCAGGGCCGATACAACTCAGAGCCGAGACAACTCAAGGCCGACACAACTCAAGGCCGAGACAACTCAGGGCCGAGACAACTCAAGGCCGACACAACTCAGGGCCGAGTCAACTTAAGGCCGACATAATTCAGGGCCGAGACAACTCAAGGCCGAGACAACTCAGGGCCGAGACAACTCAAGGCCGACACAATTCAGGGCTGAGACAACTCAGGGCCGAGACAACTCAGGGCCGAGACAATTCAGGGCCGAGACAACTCAAGGCCGACACCACTCAGTCAGGGCCGAGACAACTCAAGGCCGAGACAACTCAGGGCCGACACAACTCAAGGCCGACACAACTCAGGGCCGAGACAACTCAAGGCCGAGACAACTCAGGGCCGAGACAACTCAAGGCCGACACAATTCAAGGCTGACACAACTCAAGGCCGAGACAACTCAGGATTTAAATATTAAAACCTTAATTAGTATATATTTTTAAATTATTTTTAATAAAGTAAATGGTAAAGAAATTTATTTTTTAATAAAGTAAAAATATTTACTAATTAAGGTTTTAATCCTTAATAAATTACTTTTATTTGGTTATAAATAAAGTTATGTTTTTCTGGTGCTGAGTTGTCTCAGTCCTGAGTTGTCCCGGCGATCAGTTGGCGATGTTGAGCTGTCCTGCACTTTTCGATTTAACTTACTTTTCTCTTTTTGCCATTCAACAGAGAATTGTTGATTTGAACAAATCAATGAGATTCTGCTTAAAAAACGTCTGCTCAGTAAGAACTTGGTAACCACCCCGCTAAAGGAGTGAGTTCCTGTGTCTGCCCGTTAAAATATTTCCAGCATTCTACGGCTTATGCTTATTATCTGTTTTTTAATTTATTTCTAATGTAGCGGGGGATACCGATTAAAAGATAACACAAAACTTGAATATTCATTATATAAGATTCAATTCACTTCAGTATTTCGTCAGTTCCTCTCACTCGGCGTCCTGGGTAAGACGCTAAATTTCATCCAACAGCAAGGCCTCTGATCAGGAGGTTTTGAGGAGCGTGGTACCACTTCTTAATTGTTGGTTTTCCCAGGTCAACCCTGACCCAGGGTGGTAGCACCTGTCAGAGTCCCAGCTATGGGCAAATAGTTGACCCCCCCCACAAACCGGGGTCAAAACACTATGAAAGTGTAAAAATATGTTTTTATACCAGCAATACATTTTTGTAAAAAAGTATTACCAGCAATACATTTTTGAAGAAAAAATATTGCCAGTAATAAAAATCTTGTCGGCATTAAATAACCTACTGAGGTTGATATGCCGTAAAACAAACCAAACCTAATCCTCTCACTTAATTTGTGGTGTGCCAGTAGCGCGGGACGACTATGGGCTAATACGTAGATTCTGCATTATCCGTCTACGATGCACGAGAAACTATCCGAGAGTGATTGGGGCTATTTTTTATATATCCATCTGTTCAACATTTTCGTTGTCACAGTTTCACAGTTACCGAATGCTGGTGTGAGGTCACGTACCTCTGCATTCGGTGGCCAGGAGTAAATCCAGGTTAACGTGACAATGCTGCTGTTAGTTTCGGTGGGCCTAGCAGGGGTTTAGCGGAACAACAGTATTTTTTTTAGTTTTGTGAACACATACACACCTCGAGGACTATAGCATTAGATATCTCGAAGACCTTTGACAAGGAGTGGCACAAAGGTTTTCTACACAAGCTCCCCAGCTATGGAACTACTGGAAGGGTTTTCTCAATTATAAATTAAACAGGTAGATCCCTGAAGGTAATTATTTACGGCCAGTTCTCCGAGAACCTGGCAGTCAACGCAGACGTCCCCCAGAAGGTCACTTCCCGGACCAGCCCACTTTCTGATTTACATAAATGATCTGCCTAAGAATATACTCAGATCATTTGCAAGCATCTATGTCGATGATACGACGATATACGGGCGCGCCTCTAAAACTCTTGACGATCAGAGATTGGGAGCTGACCTCTCTTCCGATCAAACACTAACTTCCCAGTGGTGAGGGGGGGACTGGATAGTTACATTCAATACTTCGAAAACCAAACTAGTTCCATTCCATCACCGCCGATCAAGAGAATCTTGTACCGCTTCAGTAAGTACCTGACTTCTGATGAGATCCTTTACCTTTATAAGAGCCAAATCAGGCCGAAAATGGAGTACTGTTGCCATATTTGTGTTGGGCTGCCCAGTCCTCACTTTCCAGTCTCCACTTTCAGTTTTCACAGTTCAAAATCGTCTTGTTGGAGAAGAATTATTTTGCAGTCTACAACCTCTCTCTCACAGGCAGGACAGGATGTGGCGAGTCTCTCACTGCTCTATTGTTACTTCCATGGAAAGTGCTCGGACGAGCTACATTCCTTGGTTCCGCTGTCTAACCATCACGGCTAGGACCCGCCATGCTACTTACATTGTATGACCCCCACACATTCCCTCTATATTCCATTGGCGAGAAGTTCCATTCGAACAGCTTCTTCGTAGGAACGACTGCTCTGTGGGACAGACTCTCAACAGAATTTTTCCCCCGATCACTATAATCTTAACCTGTTCAAGTCTAGAGTCAACCGTTATATTCCCCTCCTATCCATATAAACTATCCCTTAATGTAACCCTCTATTTCGAGTGGCCCCCGGGCTTTGTACAGAGTGAACCTTACTGTAAAAAAAAAGAAAGTAGGCCTTTTAAACCATCAACTTAACCGCATATATTTATATTCTAGGAAACATTAAATTCAAATTATTTTTGTATCATTTTTCTAGTTTCCTTTAAAAAATAAATTCCAATTATTTCAACGTATTAATAAATGAAAATATTTTTTATTGCTATGCAAAATATTAAGTACGTGCTCTCTCTCTCTCTCTAATCCTCTCTCCCTCTTTCTATCCCTCTTCCTCTCTCCCGTCTCATTATCTATTCCTCTCTTCTCCCTATCCCCTCTTTTCTCCTCTTTCCTACCCATATCCATCCCCCACCCTTTCTCTTTTAACTGGAGTTTTTTTTTTTACCCCGGGAAAAAAAATTGTCTACCTCATGTACAAACAGGTGTTAAGGTGTTAGGGATTTTCTGAATATATTTCTATTAATAATTTTTACTCTTTTTGTAATTTTGTTTCTTTTATTCAGGTCGTCTTACATTCTACGACCGCAAGTAGCCTGGATTAGAAATAAAGACTTAGCTTTTACATTTTATCTTGCATTCCCTATTCTTGGTAATCTGTCAGACAAAGACAGGGCTTTACTGATTAGGCTGCAAAAACCAACCAGCATACTTCATTCAAATTTAGTCATATATTTCCTTGCTAAACAGTTTTAAAATATAAATTAGTTTTAGTACTAAAGCAGCCAAAAATAAAATGAATATCTTGTCAAAAAGTAGAAGACCAGTTCACATTTACTTGGGATTGAAAGTAAGAAAGTTGATTTAAATCCGCCATCTTTGGATTTTAGTTAAAATTTTACAAAGGTATAAGTTATTATATTAATTAAAATTAAATTAAAAAAGTTATACAATACCAATATGGAATGAGGTTTTGGCTGCAATCGTTTTACCACTGTCAGTTGAAAATTCCAGTGTAATGTTTCCCCTGAACAATAGTCTTGGAACAACACATCTGGCTTTTATCTGATTGATCATAGCTGCGGGGCTGCTAACTTCACTGTTCCCTTTACTCCGGAAGCGACATTGAAGAGTCATGTTTTGCTGAAGGCATGGCGCTGAGATTTCAAGCATTCGGCCACCAAACATTCCTGCTGATTTTGGAAACACGGAGAGTTGTTCTGAAAATAATAATAATAATAATAATAATAAATTCATATACCTAGGTTGTTATCCAGGCGCGCGGTAAGCTCGTTGGGAAACTCCTAGTTTTGCTAAGATATCTTTGAAGAGAGGTGACCACTATAAGATTTGGTTGGCAATCCACCTTGTGTTGGTGTCACAAACAAAATACACCGGGGAAGGAACAACCCCATATCATTCTTACAATGATGGAAATGCATAATGAAATAATAAATGGCTATGGCTGTGACTATATCGTAGAGAGCTTCGATGAGGCGACTGGAAGAATCACGGTCGAATATGGTAGGCTCTAACAGTCTTTACCCTGCAAGTGGCAAATCCAAACCCTGAATACTAATTCTGTCCGGAAGAATATCTGCCAAGTGGATTGGGGTAAGTGCAGGCAGTGTAACAAGGAGGTGTGAAATGTTACCCACATCATTAGCGTTTGTGGAATGCTTGAACAGAAAGACTACAAGCATTGCCATAATAAAATGGCCTCTCGCAGACATTAAATATTTTGTTAAGGAAATCATCTTCCCTATCAAGGAATTAAGTAATAATTCTCTATCAAAAAATGCAAGTAAAATTATAAAAAAGGATGTCTAGACAAACTGGATAAACATCTTAGAAATAGCTGGGAACAAAAAGCCATACATGACTAATATGCACTCAGAAGTAACGATGTCGATGTAAATCACCACAAAATATCTCAGTGGTTGAAGAGTACAAGGCTAAAAACAGAGACGAGGGCATTCATAATAGTTGCACTGGATCAAAGATTATTCACAAGGAATTACCGAGCATGCATAATAAAGAATGGTGTGGAACCAATATGTAGATTATATGAACAACATGTTGACACTATTGAGCATTTAGTTTCTGGATGTCCAGTCTTGACATCGAAGGAATGCAATGAGCGATGATAAAATCGGACAGTATATTCAATATGTCAGTATTACAGTGCGTTAATGGAAAATGGTAAGAAAATCATCCTGAGACATTTATTATTTGCTACTTTACCATGAATAATGACAACCATATAAAAACTAATAGAAAACATATCTGCCTGTATGATGGAACAGAAACATTAATGATAAGCAGAAAGAAAAGAGTAATCAGGTAGACAGTAAATAGCGATTGACATTGCATTTACATTTTTTGCAGATTAAAGATGGCTGGAATGCATGGAGCCAGGAGAGAGTTCCACAAGCGAGAAAAGAAGCTGTTAGCATATAATTTACGGCTACGTCTAGCCAGCTCAACTGTAAATTGATGAAATCTCGATGCCAGTCTGGCGCGGTGCTTATATTCAGAATCTCTTGATACCATAGTGAAGAGCATATTCGAACAATTACCATGAAAGTTTTTCTAGAAAATATATAGAGATGCAAACTTATAGGAGTGGGAAAGTGACCGGTGGCGAGCCGCCAGATCAGGACTAATAATATTGCAGATTCTTCTTTGGATTTTATCAAGGAGATCAAGGTAAATAGCAGGGACATCGGACCATATGTGGCAGCAATATTCTAAGCATGGATGAATGGTAGACATAGATATGTAAGATAGATTCTGGATAGAAAAATTGTCTAGCATGACACAGTGAGTCAACTTTCTTAGCAGCTGACGTAGCAATGGATTCAATGGATTTTCCACTTCATATCAGCAGAGCACGTGAACCCGAGAAGGCACAACAAGTCACTTTCCTGGAGGATAGCATCAGCCATGCAGATGGAAGGCAGAGGGCGCTCTCTCTAATGATTAATGGAGAGAAGTTTAGTTTTGGAGGCGTTAAAATTAATAAGACATCGCTTGTCCCAGTTAGCAACGGACTTGAGGATGTTTTGAACATCGGCTGCCCTTTTAAGTTTGTCAGACTGAAAACCTTTATTCTCGAGGTGGGAGTAAATTGTTCTGTCATCATCATAGATACAAAGTTGAGACCTGATGTCATCAATGAAAATTAAAAATAGAATAGGACCAAGGATGGAGCCCTGGGGGGGGGGGCACCTGCGTTAATCCGAAATGATCTAGATGAGTGGCCATTCAGGATAACTTTCATTTCACGATCTTACAGAAAAAAAACTGGATAAGTTCAAAAAGGTGTCCGGAGACACCGTAACATTTCAGTTTGTGAAGAAGACCTGAATGCCAAACCCAGTCAAAGTCTTCCGAGATGTCCAATACAACATCCTCGGCTTCACCCGTTTTATCTAGAGTATAATAAACTCTTTCCGCGAATATCGTCAGTACATCAGCAATTGACCCGGAGAAACGAATATATATAGAGTTTTGTGTATGTTTTAGTGATATAAAAGTCTCTCTGAGAACAAAGCATTTTTGTCTTTCTTTTTCCTTTCAGCCATTCCATTCCACCCATGAAATATCAATGTTATTATATCATGGATATAATAATGCCCATAATGGGGGAAATACTAATGGGAGAATAAATCATTCTTTCATGACTCTCTCCCATTATATGATTTTTGCTAAACTATTTGATTAATTGTTCTTACTAACTGATCAGCGAACGGCAAATTTCAGATGATCACACTCCCCATCATGTTACTCACGTTTCAGTTGCGTGCCATTCACACTGACTGCATTTCATTCGCTTTTGTCCCGTTGATTACCAGGATGTGGGGAATGAAGACTGAGATTGTACCAATAGTAATCGGGGTTCTGGGCCTCGTGAGAAAAGGTAAAGACAATTTTACTAAGAGTGTCCCAAGTAACATCAACATACAAGTTGTCCAGAAAATCGTCCTCCTAGGTACATCCCATATACTAAGGAAACTGCTATCAATTAAATGACAATTCTCCAATAGGGCCTAAGGACCATAGTTTGGACCCAGCTCTACAGGATACAAAACAGGAACCATAACATACACAAATAATAATAATAATAATAATAAAATCCAAAATCATAAAGATATTAAGGCAAACAGACCTGATATAGTAATGAAGGACAAGAAGGAAAAAACTTGTCTTCTTATTGACATGACTGGAGTGATACTCATATTCGTAATATAGAACTTTAAATTATTTTAGTACTTTCATGCCTATTTCTAAGTGTTGACATGGCTGCTTTACCTTGTATTCCGTCCGCCATCTTTCTAGATAGTTTACTTTTCTCAGTTGCATCACACTTCATCTCTTCATTAAATATTTCACTGGCAGAAATATTTGAAAATAGCACTTTGAAACATTTATTTAAAAAATTGGAGTCAGTAGATTTCTAGCTGAAAGTGTTAAGAGTTCTCTCAAATTTCTGTAAACTTTCACAACGTTCGATTTTTGTGAATCCAGATTTTCGTCTATTACACATTTATAAACTAAATAGAGAACGAATTTTTAAACTAAAAACCGAACTTTTATTCAACATTAATAACAAAAATGGGATCATCAATGGAAAAACATTGAGAAATACTGCACTAAATGACAGGAATGGAAATTGTGACTGAACACAACGAAGAATCACGCTGGTTCATTATTGAACCATAATAATTATCACCATGACTATGTTGTATCGTTTGCTCTGTAATCATCAAAATAAGAACGAACCACAACCTGTAACTTAGACGCTTAATAAAGAAACATTAAGGTCTTAATGACCATGTCCAAGCAAAGGAATATGGAATTGCCGTTGTAGTCAAGAAAAATCGAATAGCAAATGTGGTCGTTGGAGCAACTGGAAAGAAATAGATTTCCTAGACGTTACACTCAACCTAAGAAAAGGTAGATATTAATCATACACTCAACCTAACGACAAGCCACTTTACATACACACACCCTCCATCAATAATGAAGCAAATCTCAAAATCAATTAACCGCACGTTATCTGACAACTCTTCCAGTGAAACCATCTTCAACGAAGCCAAGGAAGATTATAAAACAGCCCTAAATGTTAGTGTAAACACTCGCATACATACCACAAAAAAGCCAACATGAAAAGAAACATCATATGGTTCAACCAGCCCTACAACAAAAACTCATACACAAATACTGCTTCACATCGAGCACCCTCCACAAAACATTCAACAAAAATACAGTAGAAATCAACTATAGTTGCACCGAGAATATGACAAAACTAATAAAAAAAAGCACAACAGAAAAATAACCAACAAATCAACTGCACAAATCAAATCCACGTGTAACTGCAGGGCATAGAACGAATGTACGCTTATCAGCAATTTCTTGCAGAACTAAGCAATATTACCAAGCTACTGTAAAATCAGCTGATAACGAAGAAAAACATAAATAGGAGTAACTGAAGAAAGTAAATGAAATTGGCTATACTATATACCTAAAACACATATGAAAAAAATTTTAATTTAAAAATGTTAGTGTTCCCTATTCTTCGTGCGCATGTGCAATCAAATGAACGTAAACATCACTTTAGTCCGATGATGTCGTAACAGACGAAACGCGTTACACAAAAACGTTTTCTACTTTGTTATATATTACTATTAGTATAAAGAAAACGGAGGTAATGCACTATTCGCCTCCTTGTCCAAAGCTCATTCGGGGTGTCAGACAACCTTTACCAGTTCATCAATTCCCAGACATTCGTTTTCAGACTGATGGGAAGAATTTGACGTATGTGAAGTCATTTACATATTTAGGAAGTAAGATGAATTCAAATGTATTCCTTGATGACAAAATAACAAATGGGATCTCCAAAGCTACAAGTGCATTTGGAAAGCTTCACCACCGTCTATGGAATGAGAGAGCTATCAAACTAGACATCAAAATATGTGTTTATAGAGCAGTTTTAACCATACAGCTCAGAATAGTGGACTCAATATGGATGTTTTCCACAAAAGTTGTCTCCGCGCGATCTGTGGCTATACTTTTGACGATAGGGTGTCCAATGTTGATCTCGCAAAATGCAACATTGGTGGAATTGAGACTTTCCTGATGCAGTCACAACTTCGCTGGGCTTGGTCATATTACAAGGATGAGTGACGACAGAATACCTGAGGTCCTCATGTATAGCCAGCTTGACAATGGACCATCGACTGTTGGACGGCTGTGGGTCAGGTATAAAGACATGCTAAAGAGTAACCCCACAGCTGTCAATATGCCTCATACTAACTTCGAGCAAGCTGATCTGGATAGAATTAACTGGAGATATTTGTGCCAGAGTAATATCAGAAACCAGCCGTATTGACAGACTAAGAGACGAAAAATAACGACAAAAGGCGTCAGTAAATATTCCTATTGCTCTGTCCCAGGATTTTCGCTGTTGTACAATATGCAGACTTGTATGCAGGTCACTAGCCGGACTGAAGTGTCACATACGACACAAATATAAAAAAAACTGAATGAAACTGTCACTCATAAGTCGAAATCGACGGGAGGGTCTATCATCACATATATTTTATATACGTGTCCCTTCAGAACGAAGGCGATCATGGGCCTCCACATCTTCCTGTCTCTTGTAGCTCTTAATAAATTTTGTCCTTTTGTTTTCTCTCAAACCCTGTTCTGCCATCCATTTGCTCAAGCCCATCAAGTATGTTATGCACTGATTTCCTTTGTCCCTCTTTCCCTCAATCTGTCCTGTGAGTATTAGATTTTCCAAGCCCTCTTTCCTCATTACGCGCCCTAGAAATTTCAAATGCCTCTAAAGTATAAGTTTAATTTTTGTTTCCATTCTCTCCAAAACCTCTTACTCATATATTCGGCCCACGGTATCCTCAGCATCTTTCTCTAGAACCACAGTTGTATCAAGTCTCTTCTTCATATTTGTCCAGCATTCACTTCCATACAGGAGGACAGATATCACGTGACAATTCAATACTCTTTTATTTGTTTCTAACGTAATTTTTCTGTTAATTTATGTTCCTTCATATAATAATAAAGTATACAAGAATCGGATTCGATTTTGTTTCCTTACTTTGCAAAGTTGTGCAGCCACCTCTCTCAGGTTTTTCTTTGGTGACGCGAAACAAGAATCGTCCCTCTTGGTAACCGGTTTTAATGAAAGGAAGTTTAGAAAGATCTGAAGCGACGCTGTCACCTGGTATTACATTCGTCCAGCCTTTGTAGTAACCTGCATTTATGCCTGCCTAGAAAGAGAGGGAAAAGATGTAAAACGACGGCGAGCATATAACGACAAATGAATTATAATTTTTACAATATCAAGTATAATTATCATTTGAGAGACACATTTTGTTTGTAGCTAGCTTTTTTTTTTATAGCTACCAAGCCGACCCAATACAATAAAATAAGAGTCCTATTGTATTACTTCATTAGCATTAACACAAAGTAATTGATATCGTAATATAGTTTTCTTTTTTAATGCCATGTCCATTTACTGAATTGCCATGACTTCTTGAGATAATCATGTGGTTTCCCGTTACCTTCTTCAGAGATGTCCTTCTTCTAGCCTGGCTGCCACACAAGGCTGGAGAGCCCAATCTGACCTGCTATTTAACCCATAGAGAAAGAGAAAATGGCTACATGCATTTTCTAAACGTATTAATGCGAAGTGAGCACTACAAAAGATTAGGCCGGGATTTGAAACCGGCTCGGTGAATCCAGTTTCATCTGCAGCTGACATAACCTGTATATCCCATCGTAATACAATATCAATAGTAAAATACAAGGGATGTGAGACTTTTCCATATAATCGAGATTGATTCATTTTTTGTTCGTGCCTGAGCCCATAAATACCTTCCCACGAAAAACGTGGCTTCAATTGGGGCGACTTTGCAACAATAGCGTCATTTCTGTGGGACCCGCTTCCAGGATGTATGTCTTTAGAGGGGACAATACATGATAATATGAAGGAGCCAAATCATGACTACGTAAGAGTCACTCCTTTTATTAAGCTGGCCGTGTGTGGAGAGACCGTGTATAGGGTGGCTCTGTGTGGCGTAGACTTGACATGCAGCTGCATTGCACCCTTAGACAAACGGCTTGTTCTATTTTTACAAACATCTTCCCTCGATCAGTTCAGTGTTTCACAGAATCTGAATGCATTAACTGTTTCACTATCTGGTATTAAGTTCACGAGCAGAACACCTTTGGCATTCCAGAATACAGTTTGGTATCAATCTCTTTTTTTAGCTGGGGTATGATAGTAGATGCTTCCATGCATGGAGTCAACCTTTGTCCTCGGGTAACGTGAAGCACTTATGTGCTCCAGAGTCCTCATCAGCTCCTATTACGATTCGAAAACCTGAAGAGAAATACCTTGTGCTCTATCAATTGCTTTGGGACCCAACGAGAAAACACTTTCTGATATCTCAAATTCTCGATTTCATGGACCATCAACTTCAGAAGTTCAAGTTCCTCAACCATATCACAAAATTTGTCATCTATCGTCTCAAAGCTTCAACGCACGCAATTTTTCATTCTGCTCTTGTCTACGCTAGCTACCAGCTTCCTACTTGATACGTATTCGCAGCAAAAGATTTACAATGAATTTCAGTTGGATTTCTGTCCTTTGTATGCAAAATGTTTATTGCAGCTCTTTGTTTGTCAACTATTTTATAGCGGTCACCATATTTGTTGTGACGTCACGTAGGATTGCGTTCAATATTAAGGTTTGTTCTTGTTGTTGCAACAAGTATTGCATATTCCCCTGTTGTTTTATATTTACAGCTTTCACGTTGTTTTAATTTTGGTTGATTTATGCTTATATGCAGCTTACGTTTTTGGAAACCCGCTTATATTTCATGTTTTAGGAAGTCATGTAATGAAAAAGACGTCTGTTTTATTGATACATATAAAATCAATATTACGAGTGTTATAAAAGACTAAACATTTTCTTCAATACAAAATATTACTCGTGCTAATACTGTAGACAACGAACGGAATTTATAAAGAGGTTAAAAAATAATACTTATCTACAGAAAAAAATGTTAGACTTACGGAATAAATCGAATTTTTAATGGGATTAACGCGATCGTAGTTAAAAATGGCATATGTCTCATCTTGGTTAAAAACAATTGCCAACTGGAAGATGTTGGTCTGAAAAAGAAAAGACATACAATAAGTGAATCGATAGATGTTCTGATGTTAACAACATATATAAATTGTTACTGAATAAATGGATTATAAATTAAAGATTTAATCAGTAAAAGGTTAGAGATTAAAGATTTCATTAAAAGTTTTTCGATTAAAGACTGATGTTAGAAAAGCAATGTCTTAAAATGTAAAAATATAATGGCTAAAATTATAGCCGAAAGTGTTCTGAAATGCAGAACAATTGGACAGGTTTTACAGACTTTGTGTCCAGGAAAGAAAACACTTGTAGGAACACAAGAAAAATTAAATAAAATGCTTAATCGAAGTACCTTGTCAGTAGTCTTTAATGAAACAGGTATAAAATATAGATTGCTGCCTAAATGCATAATATATATATATATATATATATATATATATATATATATATGTGTGTGTGTGTGTGTGTGTGTGTGTGTATACAGATGTATAAATATATATATATACAGATATATATATATACAGATATATATATACAGATATATATATATACAGAGATCTTATATATATATATATATATATATATATACAGAGATCATATATATATATATATATATATATATATATATATATATATATATATATATATATATATATGCAGAGATAAAAAGGTAAATACATAAACTCTCTTTTATCTTTTGACAACATATAATCGTGTCAACATCTATTTCGTTTCCCCTCCTGGGAAAATGAGTCTCCGGGCGAACCGGCAATGAAACCATGTGGCGCACTCTCTGTTTCTCCTCCTCCCCCTTCTCCTCCTCCTCCTCTCTTTCTCTCTCATACACACACTACAAATAATCATGAATATATATTTTTCTTCTTTTCTGAGCTATGATGTTCTGTATATAAATATATATTAAAACCCACGTGTATTGAATCCATTTCTTTTGAAAGTATTCAAACGAATATCGGTACAATTCTAAACTCCCTTCCAAATATGGCTTAATATTTGGGGACAAAAATGTAATTATAAATGTTACTTATTTTTACTATTTAATTCTGTTTTTCAATTTTAGCATTATGACGTTATGCTGATATCACACACAGTGAAATATGCTAGTGAAATTCGTCTCTGTATCAATAAATATTTTCCCGTCGCTATTAAATTTTACATAGCTAAACGCTCGATACATGTGTATATGTGTGTTAAGATCATACAATTAGTACTGAAATTCATTCTACAGCTTTACCATTGGGTTCGGCTGAAGTAATTGAGGTTGGTGTAGCTGCTGTGTTTTATGTACAGCCCAACGCTCATTTCATAGTTGTCCTTCTCCTAGATTGGTTGCCAACCAAGGTTAAAGTTCTGAGTCTGACCTACTATTAACACCTAGCTGGAAGGGGGAGAAAAGAATCCACACATTTTCAAGAGTATTTCTGCGAAAGCTAACACAACGGCCGAGAATCAAATTTGAATTCGACTCACCCATTCTAATTTCAGCGTCGAAGGCGACTGTACTACATTAAATGCTAAACTATTTTATAAAATCATCGACAATGAAATTATAAGCAAACGATTTTGTTCTTTAAATTTCCATTCGATTGAGTCAGTTTTTGCTCTCTCTTTTATATTGTGAATCCGTTGGCGTTTTTACTGAGATTTTAGTTGTTTACTTTCATTCATTTATTCAGTAAGCGCATTTGTCGCCGCTATGGTCATCATTCCCCTCCATCTCCCAGTTGTCGTTCATGGTGACATTCAAGGTAGAATAGTGCAATGGCTTACAGGTTCTTTTTGCACCAGAGCTGATGAGGTTACCACGTGCATTCTCTCAGAAGTTAAAGAGGCAAGACCTAGCAGTTGGTTTGAATTCAGACTTTTCCTTCTTCTAGACTGGCAATAATGCCCAGACAATATGATCCCCCTCTCTCGGCCGTACCGTCAAGATCTAAAGGAATACAGTTCATTACATTTAGGGACGGTTTGGCTGTAGGAATTTCCGGGAAGTTGTCAGTATTTAGAGCCAACCAGCTTCGGGGCTCGACTTCGTATTTTCTGTCTGGATTTACTTTCATAGCTTTTTCCATGTTTGGATATGACCTCAAGGCAGCGGAGGTTTAAAATCAGGGTTTTCCTTCCTTTAGATGAACTGTTTACATTAACGCTTTCCAATTTCGAGGAATGATAAAAAGCGAAGAATGATTTGTTAGCTAAAAATAATTTAAAAGTGGGGAAATCGGTCTTATGTAGATTTGAAACAACTTTTTGTTTCTAAGATGGACTCAGCGGCTAGACATTTCAGGTAGACTGAAAAGGCTTTAAGAAAAATTCTGATGGTTTGCTTTGACTCAGCTTTGTCTCTTTAACAGTAGCTTCTTTCTTGAGCTACAGAGATAAACAAGAGCGTATTTATTTTGCAGGGAATAAAAATATCAACTCCAAGTCGGTAAGAGAGGAAAGCATGCAATCCCTTGTTCGTAGCAAATGTTACAAGAATCATGCGCATACCAATTTGACCTAAATTAAAGATAACAGAGCATTCTTTATATATACACATTTATTTATATATATATTTTATACATAC